GTGAAGTCGAAACGACAAGTCAAACTAATATGAGCATCTTCACACATACAAGTGAAGCCGAACCGTGCTAGCATCATAAAGCTTTAAGATAATGATAATAATTTTGCGAAGGAAGATATGGATGAAGGGTTGGCTTTCACTCTCCCTTCCTCCGCCCTCCTTTCTCCCGTCCGACATCTTAGCCTCTTATCATCCATAATTTTTACACCTCAATGGCAGCTTTTGCTTTGCCTTGATGTGCGAATTCATTTTTCTTCTCAAAATTTCTTTCACCATTCCTAATTGCGTCTCAAGGGCAAGAACTTTTTTTGCATACCTTCATTTAGACCGACACGCAACATAGTGAATACACCTCAACCGAATTTAATTGATGACATGTCTTTGGTAGGGAGAGGACAACGTAAGGAAAAATAGCAACTGTTGGTCCCTGCACGTGAAAATAAGGTAAGTTTAGTCTTGTGGGGAGGGGGGGATATTTGAGGAGTGTGTGGGGAGTGAACTGCAAGATTACCTACTTAGTAAATGGTGGAATATAAAAACAGTCCGTTACCAGAACGGCAGTCTTCTTTCAAGGCATTCCATGCGAGAAGAGTGTATGCATAATCAATGTTCTCGGCTTAATGGATTCCTCGACAGCGTCCTCATCAGCTGAAATGCCATTCAACTCACAGTCCAACTCGAACCGACTTCGCAAAGTGCGGAATGGTACATGTACTTTCCTTCCAGCAATGCATTCCACAACCAGCTTCTACATGATTTGAATAAAAGGCTTCTTTTATCTCGGTTTTGTTAAGGGTTCAATTAGACGGTCAAGTGCTGTCTCATCTCACTTTGCAATAACTGTCAGGGCGTTAAACAAGGTGAAGTCATTTACAACAGCTTAATTCAACCATTGCACTGCTAAACAAAAGGGCGGGAAAGATTGTTCATTGCAGTAAAAAACTACTCACAAATGTCATCTAGTGGAAGCCTTTTTGCTCATCCTAGCGTGTACACTTTTCAGGTTTCCTTCTAGTCATTGCAAAATGTAAACAACAAATCTATCGTCTGGAATGCGTTTTAAGTCAGAAGTGAATGCATCAGATTTTTCCTAACAAACATTATCCCTAATCCACTGATGCGTTTTTAATGTATTTGTTACTCCTTAGCGTTTCTAAAGTAGATCGAAGACGAAGTCGACATTCAACCTCGGTCATAAATTACAAATGTACTCACAATAGGTTAGGACATCATTAGTAAGTAAGCATTTTTAGTAAAGAGAAGCGTCTCCATTGCTGTTTGGAGCCTCACTTTGCTGTTTAGCTTGCGCTTCCTGATTGGTTACGAGAAGGTATAAAAGGGATTGGTGACTGTGTCCTAACTTGTACACTCCTTACCATGTCCCTCATGACAATATCCTCACTAATCATCACCACAATTTTCATAGGCTCGCTCCAAGTCTCTAGCACGTTTAAACTGCCCACTTCTCGATTTCAAAATAGATTCGCGCCCATGGAGAAGGTAACTTTCTGGCCTTACTGGATGGATGATGCTGACATTGATGACAAGGAGGAGGAGGAGGTGGGGGTGGGGGTGGAAATGGCTGGTGATAGGGTAGACAAGAAGAGCAGACCATCGGTACCCTCACTACCACCCTATCTGGAACGGCTGAAGAAGTTTCAGAGTTTGAGGGATAAGGAGAAATATGTTGCTGCCCTCAACTCCTACTATATGATATTTGGCCGTCCCAGGTGTGTAACCACTTTTGCTTTTGCTTTATCCGAGCCCATTTTTAATAATAAACCATTTGCTACACTTCGCAAGGCAAAATTTCAACCCTTGGTGGCAATGTTTTTCCATTACATCACAAGCACCAATAAATTTGACAGCTAATTTTATTTCATAATAACAGAAGACTGAGCTAATCAACTTTATGCAACCCGTTTGAATTGACGTTTTCGGAATAGAAGTGCTTGTGGCTACCATGCTTGGCAGTTTACACCGAAAATCCTAATTGACCTGGGAAAACCGGTTGCCACATCGTAAATAGAGCAAGCTCAAGATCTAAAGTAAAGTTGTTAAGGTTCACTGCTTAACAAAGTCCTTAAATTTAGAAATGGTCAACATTCGACCCTTCGTCTCATGTCATTTGGTGCCTTTTAAACGCAACTGGAACAGTATATTCCAAATTTTTAGTAAATTTTGCCATTTTGAGGATGGGTTCAAAAGACATGTAATGGATACATCCACGTGAAGCTTTCATCCACAAAGTTTTCGAACACTCAGATATTGGGTGCCTTGAATAACCTGCACTTAAGCCAAGCAGGCATTATGAAAAAGATATGCCATAGCCTTATTAGGTCCGCCATCTTTAGAACTTGACGATACGGCACATTTTTGTTTTAGAGAATCCTTTGTTGAGATTGTCGGAGTAAACTTTCTTCAGCGCCTTTGCTTTGATTATATGCATCGATTGTCCCCATTTTCATCAACCCATTCAAAGGAGACATCTTTTCATTTTTAGGTTTGGATAGAATATACTTCTGAGGTGCTCCGATTTGTCAGTTTCGTTTCTATTATTTTAATAATAATTATGATTAATGGGTATGTATTTTTTATATGTTTTATACGCACCATCTTTGACGCGGGTTGTTGCAGCCCTTAATCTAATTTTGAAAATCAGAGCTTGATGTGTGGTTATTCGTCATCTTAGACTCAAGCCAGCATTCTGCAAACATGTCATCAGTCCTTAGGAAATGCAGAGTTGTAAGCCCACCTAGTATCGATGGCTAATGAAAGCGTGCACAGCTGTGGTTGGACAGCAGGTGCTCTTCGGTCAAATGATGCGGGTTGGGGAGGTGCACATGTCATCATACATAATTAAGGGAGGCACCGGTACGTTAGAGTAAAAAGGCAAAGACGCCACATTGATGATCGTCAATGCAGAATGGTAGAGTAATCATAATTTGGCTGCTCTGTTAACTGTCTATAAAATGATCGAGTTCTAAGTACATTAAAATGGGTTTAGCACATACAGAATAAAAGAGCTTGCTTTGTCCTCAGCGGGAACATCAAAGTACCCAAGCTGACGAAAAATGTTTAAATAGTGTTGATTTACTTTCAGCGCATTGGGGGTAGCTCCATAGTAATGTAAAACAGAACACGAGAGAGTACCACAAGGAAAGTCTAGAAGGTGGGAAAGTTTGTTGTAACTTATAAATCAGACTGACGTCATCCCCTTGCAACATGGGTGCTAAAATTGCACAATGTTCCACCCAATACAAAGGCACCATCGCTTTTAATCAAAGAGATAAGGATGGCTTTGTCTTCAGGCTCTAACTCTTTCATTTGCTGTGGTTTTGAACATTGACAGCAAATGCTCTTATCTCTCAAAATTCAGTAACCTATAATGTTGTCTGCTCTCAAATTGAATCACAAATACGAACAAAAAGCGGAACGAAAACTATAGGCCATAAATTAATCATAACTAAGTGAAAAGACTTAAGACTCTTTAATTGTTTCCATCTTTTCTCACATCCTTGGGCTTGAATGGTACAGGTATAAAGAAGAGGGTTGGGAGTTATGTCTGCTACCTAAAAAATCCAAAAGCTCTCATTCAGTCAGGATCTCGACTTATTTTACAGTCTCTAGTCCAAAAGATGAGGACTTAAACTGGTGAAAGCACTTACACGCATCCATCTGACCATTTCTACCTTCAAAGAGACGATAGATTTAATTTTGTTCGAGCATTATAAAACAACTACAATCACTGTCAGCGCCTGACCCCGAGGCAAATAGTTGAAGGAAGGGTGGTATGAACACTTGCTTCCGATAGGTGCCTTTAATGTTATTTCCACGCTTAGCCAAGAAATGAGTTCGATAACTACCATCGAACCGAGCAGCGCAGGAGGGTATAAAAGTAGCACAGCCCACAAAGTTTTCGATGGGAAGTGTAATATTTTGTTTACGTGACTACCTGGCGTTTGGCGGTCACTTTAGAAGTTGTCTGGCCCCTGTACACGTGGCCTGGCCTTCGGGCCATACTCAGACCCCATTCGCCCTGTCGTCTTCGGAATACATGTATGCAGCTGCACTTACTGAATTCTTATACTGACTAGGAAGTCTCGGGACGCTACAGGAAGGCTTTTGTATCATTATGCATTCATTATTTCTAACAGAGTCAGCATTGCGTTATATCATTGAAAATTGGACTCCATCTTGTGGCTCAGTTCATTAACTGGAATACCATATTTACTATCACATTTCTTTGATTACAAGAGTCTCAATAAGTAAAAATATGGCCGACTTCGTGGAAAGCACTTAACAAAGAAAAAGAGGAAATACGGGAGAATGACACTTGCTTTGATTGAAACATCATTATTTTAGTGCTTCCGTCTCCAGTGGCTTTACTGAAATCTTAGGGCTACGGCCATCAATATTCTGTACTTTCTCTTTACAAAGTGGCGCAAGAGTTTTGGAATGCAATACTGAAATATATTTGGGGAGAACTGGAAATCAGGCAAAATTAAATAAGCACATCCGCTTCCCTCGTTCTTCTGCGACATCTTGATTGGTCTGTGTCATTTTTAACACCACGGTTCAAACGAAAAATATACAAGGGAAAGTAGTGCTAAGCTTTAGCCTCCAGCTGCTTTTTGGGGTGCAAGTGAAACATGTCTAATAGCGAGACTAAAATCTTGCAATGAAGGTAGATAAGCCCATATTGTTCGCATCGTGTTTCTAGTGGAAGCGCTTTCATCCATCATTGCAAACCTGAAAATCAAAGCAAAATGATTAGCCCATGGGTCTTTAAAATATCCTGCAAGAAGATATATTGCTGATTAACTTACGTAGATTGTCACTTGAGATCCAGACTTCTCAAAAACATCTTCCTTTATGTAAAACACAATATCGTCATTGCTTTTTATTTTCCGTAGTCGAAACATTTGATTGCGCTTAGAGGTTTATTAGTATCGATTTGTCCAATCAATTACATGCTACTCTTACGAAAAGGTGTTCTAATGACTGCCAACGCCTTGGAGGAGGAATTCTATCGAAACATTTCACAGTATATTGGTGGTAGCGGTGCGCGAAGAGCAGTTGAGAGACTATGTGGGGTTGAATCACGCTTTAATAATGTCATGCGAACAGTACGTTATTTCGCCTTGTTTCTTTTATGCCCACTGCTTCATGTGGGTATGCATTGTGATCACCCATAGGTCGATACGTTCGATCGGGTTACTCATTCTACCAAACTTTTTTTATTGCATGAAGTCGAATTGTTTCGAAAGTCTGATTGCCGTCCTTGCCTCATAACTCACATAACTTAGGACATTAATTTAATTCTTTGTTTTATAAACATTTTGTCACCGTACTCCCCTCATTATGCGTAAATATTTTGTGATTGAAGGGGTGCCTACCAGAGGAGGGCTTTTCTGAGATCGAAATTGAGGCAATTATTAGCAAACTGGCTTTAATGGATTCGAATAACTGGTATCGCTCGACCGGCGTTGGCGAGCGTGAGGGTCGCGTCCTGCTCAACCTCGTCAAACGACGTCATTTCAGGTAATACTCTTACCTCGTGTTCTTTCATCAGTCAATTTATAGCTTGGCACATGGAATCGGGCGTTCTGGAGACATCACTGCCATTCAGCCGAAAGCTTCGGGATCCAGCCTCATCAATCGACTTTCAAATTCACTTCTATTGGATTGGCTTCGTCGGTCCGGTAGTTTTGTGATCTACTTTGCGCTCTTTTTCCTCCATATTATTAACTCAATTCTTGACTGTGTGGGTTCATTAGGGGGAAATATCACGTTGATACTTGATTAACCGCACTCTCACTACCATTTGAAAAGGCATTTGCTGAAGTAGTAACTAGTTTAATCTAAGTGATTTCAGCATTTGCTCTGTCTTCTGGAAGTAAATACCTATTCAGGGGTTTGATGGTTTTTGGTAGTACTCATATTCGGTCACTTGCTTCGTAGATCTGTCTGCACATTAGTTAGTTATTAATCTGCTAACCAGAGTTTCAATAACCGTAGTTTGTGATTGTTTGGGCTTCGAGTTGTCACTGTAGTGATTGGATCAAAATTCGGTGTTACTGCAAGAAAGTGAGGAAAAGCACGAGCGGAAATTCAGGAGAGAACTGGAGGGAATGTAGTGCCGATTGCCGAATCGCTTAACGACTAGATGCTGAGTTGTGATGGAAATATGGGAGCCAATGGTTGAAATTTTCCCAGTAAAAGCGAAAGTTTTGCAAGATGAGAACCGCAATAGTTGGCTCAAGAGCATGCATGTCAATCAGCCGAGGGGATGGGGCCTAGGACGTATGCGCTCACATGTGTGCGGTCGTGAGCATTAACGCCTCCACATTTCTCCTTTCACATGTTATCTCAACAGGTGCACCTAGTACAGAGGCTTGCCTCCTGGTTCCTATGGCAACTGGAATGACCTTGACGCTGTGCCTCCTTACTCTGAAACGTCGGCGCGGACCTCAAGCAAAGTATGTCATTTGGCCACGGATTGACCAGAAGTCCTGTTTGAAGTGCATCGTCGCTGCAGGTGCGCTGTTGTCGCATTATGTAACCTCCTTCATTGGATGTGAAACGCGAGAAGATGCCAATAGAAACTGGTTGCGATCCAATAAGACTCCTAAAATTATTAATTTGTGGAGACAGGAGTGATTAAGCAATGTGGCCGTTAGTCTCTTCGAGTTATAGCCATAGAACTGTTGAATAAAATCACAATTAATAGGTGAACTTTCCATGTTAGCAATGACTGTGTCTTTAACTTAATCATATGGTCGCAATTCGCTTTGAGGATTTATTGTGCCCCCTTCATAAGTTTAAAACATGCTTGTGATTACTTTTCAAACTTTTGAATATTTCTTCCCCTTGGACAACATTATCCTTATACTCCTCTGTCACACGACAGTTTTGTGTAGAACACACCTTTGTGGCTTTAGCTGAAGCTTCAAATGATGGTCGCTGATTCTCTAGTCACTGACGTATTGATGCACGACCAACAAAACTACGCCTAACTCTGGGTAACATGAATGCATTTGAATTTTGCTCTTTTTATCTTCTTCGATTCCGTTTAGGCTGAATCTTTGCATAGAGATGGAGCTAATGAATAATTCATCCCCCTGCCTTCACCTTTCAGGTCTTATACCTATTCCAATTGAGCCAATCCAAACAGTTGGACGACAAAAGCGAGTAAAGAAGAATAAGGGAGTGGACTTTACGAAGGGAGTTGAGGAGAACGGTGCCTCAGTGTATGCAGATCAGCTGTCCACCAACCTGGAAGCCATAGAATTAGCGATGTTTGATCCTGAAGGTGCTCTCAGAGCTGGAGAGGGAGCATCGGTACTGCCGCTGAAAGCCAAGGTTTCAAGTCTTGGGCCGGAGTCTATCGTTTGTGTTCTTTCTACCACTACTTGCTTCGCTCCGCGAGTTCCTGATCGGTGTGTTTTTAAGATGGTCACAACTTATTTTCTTGATTCCTTGTAAGGAATGTCTTTTGTGGCCTCTTAATCAGGATTCTCTTTGATCCTTTTTTTACTTAGCATTGTGATCACTTAATGGGAATGATTCGAAGCTATCACTTATAGTTTTGCGCATTCACTACCAAAGGTCAAGGTGCAGAGTAAATCACCACAGTTTAATTATTTATTGTTTTAATGTTGCATATATTGTTAAGGGTCAGCTCAGTTACCCCGTTTACGATACGATTTGGTACTGGTAGCAGGTGTTTAACTAAACCGATCTCATCATATACTGTCAGGCTACATGGAATAAAGGTTGAACAATCAACCAAGCAGATTTTGCTGTATTCGTTTATCTTAGTCTTTCTCTTCTTTGATATTTTCGTTAATGCAAGTGTAGCAGCTAATGAAACACAGACTCAACTATTGTTGCTGTGGCCTATAAGGCACTACTTTGAACGAGTTGTTATTGTTGCACTCATATTACGACTCTACTTCTCACTTATCACTCAAATATTTTGAACATCAACACGCATTTGGATGACTGCCCTCTACTTGAAGCTTTACGCGGATTTAATCAAGGTCGGATTTTACTCCCTTTATCATGAGAAAATTCGTGCATCGCATGCTTCAAACTATTTTACCTGTCGTCTTGTATAATGGAGTATGAATCACACTTGTCTACCAAAGTGACTCCAAGCAGTGCAAGACATAATGCGACGGAATGATTAAAGACTGTAATCCTTTGTAAAAGCTTGAAATTAAGGTCCATTGGAATTTGAATGCTCTGCCATTTCCCTTTTTACCTTTTATCCTCTTCCAGGTTGCCAGCGATAACTCGCCTCTGTAAAGCGCAAGGAATACCACACCTGGTAAACAACGCCTACGGTGTGCAGTCGAAGCGTTGTATGCGTCTCATCGAATCCGCCTGGGCCGAAGTTCATCATCCGGTAGCCGGTAAGCGGGCGGATGGAGAAAAGAGGAACGTTGTTGACGGGAACACGAACGATTCAAAACCTCTCGACCTTCTCTACGTGCAGTCGACAGACAAGAACCTCATGGTGCCTGTAGGTGGCGCAATCATTGCTGGATTTTCAAAGAGCTTGCTACAGGAGATTGCTGAATCCTATCCCGGTAAGCCTTGAAGTGCATTTTTATGTAAATTATCCTTTGTATCACTTTGCCTCTTTATTGCATAAATTTGGAGCTCTGTGGATACGCAAAGTGATTTACTTAATTGTTTCCCGAAAATTGTTTTATTTTGATGAAAAATGTTTTTTTTTCTTAGGCACTTGCTATCGAGATCGTGGATGCGCATAATTTTTTCGTGATTCATATACTTTATAGAGAGTGTTCATATGAAACTGTGATTGAGCATCGAGGTGCAATGTTTGATAGGTCGTGCCTCCGGTTCGCCGACCCTGGACGTGTTTGCTACCTTGTTACACCTTGGCCGTTCGGGATGGGAGAGCCTGTTGGCACAGCGAGAGGCATGCTATCTTCGACTCACCGAGGGTTTGCGCACTCTTGCGGCTAAGCATGGTTTGCGTCTCATGGATACTCCTGAGAATCCTATCTCTCTTGCACTCTCTCTCCATGCCCTTCATAGCGGATCAAATGCAGTGAACCTCAACCCTGACACTCTTACGCAAATTGGTGCCAATTTGTTCACCCAGGGATGCTCTGGTGTCCGGTGAGACATTAATTTAACTGTTTAGGTGTCCTTTCTACTTTACCTTCGGGTGCCTTCGGAAGCCATTTTCATCCATTGTTCCTGCATTCATTGATTCACCTACGGTCTGTTGCCAGGGCGATGATGTTCTTTAAGCATTTTCCACGGTGTAGCAACCACATATCTTTTAATTAACCTTTTTTTGCCTTTCATCCGCTCAATACTTGGTATAGACTTGTCGTACCAAGACGATCGAATTTAATGAGGGCAGTGTTGGAGTAGAGGACCACCATTATGCTTTGACATATCTTTAAGTCGTGATTATTAACATCCGTAGCGTTATATTTAACTATCATTCCCGTATTTTCATTTACTAAGTTACTCAAGCCATCTGATCAAATTTATAACTATTGAACCGCAATCAGCCTAAGACAATCGGAAGTTTTATAATGATTTAGTGTTTCTTCGTTTGAAAGCGTAAGTTTTTTAATGCTTTAACAAATACTTTATATATATTAAGATGAAGGCACCATTTATCAGTTAACACAGGCAAATAATGGAACCATCTTGCTGTGATGCTGAAAGTGGGTAATTATATCACTTCAGGGTGGTTGTGCCGGCTGCGATGGAGCGCAAAAGTGGTCTACCAGCGAAGGTAGTGGCGGGTGTGCGGCTAGAGGGTTTCAACTCTCATAGCGCTGCTTCCGCCGAGGCTTACATGAACGCTGCTGCGGCTCTGGGTCAGACGACGGTGGAAGTGGACATCTTCCTTTCTCGTTTGGACAAGGCTCTCTCCTTCTTCCGACGGCGACAGCAACAAAGGTCACTGGATCAGGATTCGAATAAATAGTTCAGTGGCAGCTTATAACGCTCCGTCTTCACTCATTGACAACCTGTTGTAGCTTGTCTGACTTAATGCCAGGTTTTAGTGCAAAAGTGTGCACTTCGTCCAGTCTGTGATCGATATAGAAGAGGATGAACTGGGAGATTTAATATCGGCAGAATCAACTTTTTGTTAGTAAGGCTGGCGTTGGTGATTACGGTTTTGCGGGTGACGATCATTGAGCCACTCCCTAGTGCTCTCTTGAAGTCATAAGGGACCCGAAGACGAGAATTTAGAAGCGCTTCATTGTAAGTTGTATAACCTGGTCCGCACTAAGTCGCTGTAGAAACTGGCGTGGCAAGCTTATCTTCCGGAAGGACAATGGATCTCCTAGTCCGAAATATAGCAAATGACAATGGCTTTAGCTTCTATGCCAGTGAAGAAGTCACACCATCTTGTGGAGTACCTTCACTTGGAAGGGTAGGGCACAGCTGTTCCCTCATCACCAGTCCTCAAAGACAACTTTGCTTTGCAGACATTGCTACGAGTTCCCGTCTCGTTTACATTCTTTATCAGAACAACAATGCGAGAGATCAGAAGTCAGATTTTGTACAACCTCCAGTGATGGAGAAACTTTACGTACTGATTACGGAGATCTTTCGTTGCACCTTGAACCGAACGCTTTATCACTTAATTGGTGGCAATATGCTGAAGAATTGAAGTCGGAAATCCCAACTTGTACTGACAAGTCATGTGGCAGCAACGATTCCACTACCCTGCCCTTTGGCTAAGCATCCATCTTTCGACAGGTTTGTTTATCTATTTGACTCTTATTCTCAAACTGTTACAACTAAAACTGAATGGAGATAGTAACTTTATTTGAGTGCAAGAAATCACTAATTCATTCATGTATGTCAATGTTCGTTCATCATACATTCCATTGTTGAGTGGAACAGTGTGGCTAATGGGAAAACGTGATTAGAGAGTAGTAGAATCAACGGGAAAACCAAGATATCATTAGTGAATGAGTAGTAGTGGATGCGTAGTGCTAAAACCTCAGATGTGTACGAAACAAAGCATCTGCATTGCGCAATAAATCTTGGCGAAATCAGTTTGGGTTTTAACATTGTGGCAATGATCGGTGACATCACCCTTATTTTGGCCTTGACGCTGAAAATCTACACAACAGGCAATAGAAGAATATGGTCACTTCACACACCCCTTGCCATTTCCACAAAACAATAAACAGAGTGGTTTCACTGAGTTTCACATCCAGTGGATGCGGTTTTACAATGCAACAAGTAGGAGAATGATGTGATAATAATCTACCATCTGGAAAGATGTCCTTGGAAAGAGAGTTCTGGTCAGGCGGTGTTTGAGTTCCGCACCGGCGTCCCAGTGTAGAGACAAAATGCTAGCGTGGTTGACATAGTAACCAGGAGACAAGCCTCTGCACTAAGTACGCCTTTACAAGCTTGATGGGACGAGAAATACATAAGCTGGTCGTTATTTGAGACAATGCAATGCTCCATCTCTCTGGCTTACGTGGGGAGAGGTATGAAACTCGTAGTCTTGAACATGTCGTTGGGATTTTTAGGCTACAACCGCTCCGTTTAACGGGCAAACTTCCCCTCGTTAAACTTCATTCTGTCACCCCAAATAATTGATGTACTTTGAAATCGCTAAAAAAGACGACAATTTAAGAGCTTTTCCACATAGTATAGGTGCATGAAAATGAACAAAAAGGGACTAGAATTTTATCAATCCGTCTTTGGCAAGAAGTGCGCCTTCCGAAAATAATTCAAATGCAATGGTATCCCCTGAGATGTGCTGTTGATCGTGCCGTCCCCATTAATGGTCGCATTGGGCGATCCCGTCGAGGGGCAAAAATCCACCTCCTCGAGTGACAACTTCTCCATCACCAGGAGGAACCGTGAGGTGCATCGATTTAGACTCTACCAAAAAACGGTCAGCATATTTGTTTGCAATAATAAACGAGTCTCAAAACATAAAGCACCGTACCTGTTCACAAGCACTGATAAGTTTAAAGCGCGGATGAGTAGGTAGAGGAGGCAGACCACTGTGATTGCTTTTGTTCACAGGCATCCAGAAGACCAGACGGCCTTGTGGCTTGAGGAAAAGGCTGGCCAGCTTCAACAGATCTCCGTAAATCTCCCGCAGTGGGTAGTTTTCCTACAACCACAAACGATGCAATTTTACGGACCCCCCGTCGCTAATAGTGAGGAGCTTTTAGCAGATTTAGCGGTAATACGGGTAAGAACTAAGAACTAAATTATATTAATGAGAATTTCAAACCAGATGCCAATGGAAAATCAAAGCCAGGAAAAAGGTAGTTAAACAAAAACTGATGCTGTTTAGGAAATACGAATTCCATTAGATTAATTCAAAACACCAAGAGGCGAAGCGAGGATCAAGGCTTGAACCTTAGCTTGCTGATGAAAAGCAAAGGAATGTGAAATGAGGGACCAAACCAACCTTGTGCGGAAAGTGAGGTAAATCATGCGGAACAGGGACAAGCCCATCTTTGTCGGGTACCAATGCGAATTGTTTTCTGTGTAAAGCAACAGAAAAGTGGAGTATATGGCAAGAAGCGTTCGGAGATAATAATACGAGAATGGATTCTATAATGACAAGATAAACTTGGATTAACTTTGCTTTCTGGTAGGGTTGCTATATTCGCAATGATGATAAATGGTTAGTTTGCCCAAGTCGGTCACAATGACGGCAGAACATGGAACGATTTAGAACATAGGAAAGAAGCAGGTGACCAACATTTCTGAAAGAGGCGCAGTTAATTATCAAATTCCACATGTCCGTGAAAAATAATAAAATCCTACTTCTATGAAAAGCCGCCAGGGATGTAATTATAGTGAAGAGAGAGGGAGAGGAAAAAGACACACCCGCCGGTAATTTCGTCGATATACATGGTGGTCTGCATAGAAGGCTCCTTCTCAATGGCCTCGTTGGCGATGCGGCAAGTGCGCTCACGTACGCCGTAGGGCGGATCTGTGACGATGGCATCGAAGAAGCCTGACGTAGTAGACGGACAGCGTAGCAGACGATCCAGGGATGCCGAATCGGCTACCAGGACGTCTAAGTAGCGCGATAGCAGGCTGTATTGGCAATAGTTGGCCCGGAGGCATTCATCAACGTGTCGCTTACCCTGAGACGTGAATTATGGCATCGTTACGCGTCCAGGCTAAAGTGATTCGTGGGTGCTAAACCTATTTCGAATTAGGACATATTCTGGGGGAGAACAAACCATAAGATATGAAAAATTAATAAAGGTAAATGGGACCGATCCGGAGATTACATTTTTTCCCGCTGTTTCATCCCGGGACCAATTTGTAATATTAGCAAAAAGAGATTACGTCGATGAATAAGTACTTAACAACGTTCGGATTTACTTCAATCTATAACATTGCCATTTCGGAAATCAAAAATTCTCAAGCATTGAAGAGGATTTTAAAAAGCTTATCTCGAAATGAAGATGCGAAAGTTAATACAGAAAGTTGGGAAAACACTGATAGAGCAATAGTGGAAACCATTTATTAGTAAGTTGATAACTGGTGTAGACTTCAAGCAGTATCGTACTGCGGTACTGTCTAATAAAAGAAACGGTAGAACAATTGCTTAAAAAACTTCTTAACGAAGAGTAGTCAATGGGTCTAATTTATAAAAATTACTTAACCATGCTTTCAGAGAGGACTTAAAGGGCTAGAACAGTAACAATAGTAAGCTAGATCGGCAGAAGACAAAAACAATCCTAGAATTTTTCATTAGTACATACATTCAAAACGTGAAAGAAATTATGTTCGCATCTGAATCTGCAAGATGCAATTGAGATGGAGTGATGCGATGGAAACTCTAGGGTCCCATATGAAAGGCTCTAAATTGTGTAAGGACAGCACATTATAAACCTCCAAGACGAATGACCAGTATCACAGTGAAAAAGGCAAATGCCGATCTTGAGCAATTTTCCCGTACCTTAATTTTCAACACTATCCACTTACTCACATCCTTGGCACAGTTCGACCCAATAATGGGGACTGACCGTCATTATGGTAGAGTGGCTATTTATAGCTTGAGAAGAAAAGGAATTGAAGAGAAAATACGCAAAGAAGAGGCACCATTCAAAAGTGCGATGAGGTACAGTGGTTCTTAATCACCTGCGTGATAGTGAACGAATACTACTGATGGCAGACGACCTGAAGTCTAATAAATAAATATGATGTTTGAATACATAACTCATTAAAGCTAAAATTTTGTAATTGGGTTGCACCAAATGAATTAAAAGCTGATAGTTCCACATAGTGACAAATAAAGAAAACTAACGAAAAAGAAGTAGCCAAATTATTTGTCGGAAAAATTATGATATCAAAACCTAACTAAATTTGTCACAGTGAGCGACGATTTCGGAAATCTTGGACAAATGGAGCAAAAAACTTATTTTAATTGAGAGAACAAAGGGTGGACAAAACAGCAGTTAAGTCAACAACCATATCCAATGGGAAAAAAGATCGAAATATAAGTCGTGGAGACCTAATGAATTCACCTGTCCAGCTTTCGGTGAGGCACCAATTCCGTGAACAAGGGCATAGTCGATATCGTTGCCAGCACCGTAAGCTCCCCAAACGGACGCAGCCAACACCATACCACCAGTTCCAAGGAATGGATCCCAAACTATGTCACCAAGACCACAGAGGCACGCATTAGCAATGACTCCTGCTAGGCAGACATCCATGGTGGTGTTGCCCAAATATGTGCGTTTGGACAGATCGAATTTATTCAGAATGCGTCTCCGCGAACTTTCTCCTACTGCACGACCGTAATATACTCGTAAAAGTGTCTGATCATTTTTATGGCTCTTGGCCTTAGTGAATTCGAAAATAATGTGCAATTGATACTAAGGTAGAGTGCAGAAGTTGACGGATAATGCAACAACATACGTCGGGATTATCGAGTGATACTGGAGCAGAGGAGCCGATATGAGCACCGATTAACCTTTTAATGTACGGTAAACGATCTTCCAGAGGAATGCGTTTATTAACAGAGCTAACAATAACTTTGTAAGAGTAAGTACTGTACAAGTATTTGTCGATAAGTGATAGTGATATCTCCGGAATCTAAATACCAAAGTTTAGCAGAAATGTTCCTACCTTTAATAAGAGCTCATCAAAAGTGGACGCAGATGCCCAAATCGAGTAAATAAACTTAACTAACATACTGCGTTCGATAAATCTTGCGGCAGCATCGTCACTGGGGAGTTTAATTTTGATATATGGATCGCTCCAGTCAGTATCCGCAGGGATACAGTCCTGACTCAACCCGCTTATTGTTAGTAGTGAACGGACTTCTAATTCCCGAAAATTCGCAAATTCATGCGCCGCAAAAGCTAATAGATAGTCCATATCGCGCGGAGTGATCGAACAGGTTGATCTGCAAATGGCACGCTCCAAAAAAACACAAGGTCGAAGCAGATCTGTGATGTGCAATATATCATATTATCAGGCATACATTTCAAGAACGAAATTTGTACTATATTTGGCGTCATTTCCAATTTTTTTAGTATTTAGTGATTCTTTAAATTTGAAACAAAAGGGGATACTGTGCTCTTACAGGACATTACCACACGTTTCTATACTTTAC